CATAACAGCCGGACCGCCACCCGGTCTGTCTGCTGGATTATTGACTCCAGATCAACCGCCTCGCAGTGTGCTTCCACCAAGCTCAACTGAGACAAAGCAGGGTGCCGGGAGCTTGGTTGCTCAAAGTGGGCTTGCAAAGATCATGTCAAGCCAGACCCAAGCAGACCCAGCTAGGCCCAGCACGGCCCTTCAGGAGGAAGACTTCCCAGCGTTGAATGCTCCCAAGTCTAGAAAGTCCAGTGGACGGCCCTCCCTGACGACTGTTCCAACGGTTCCAACCCCGAAAGGCACCCCGGCCCTAAAGAAACAGCAACTCGACAAGACCATCAACACTCAATTTAGTAGCCCGGATCCAAAATCGCCCGTGCTCGCTAGAGCAGATGTCAGGAGGGCTGAAACTCCCTCCCCTCCCTCTCTCAAGAAAGTTGATACTCGCGACAATCACGAGAAGCCGTCGAGTGCTCAATCTACTGCTTTCCCACCTCTTCCAATACCCTCATCAGGCAATGCCTCCCCCTCCGCCACACGAGCGCCTAAAACACTACGGCTTCTCCCAATTCAAAAAATGGAAGTTCCGCCTGTGGCCTCACCAATTTCTGCCGTGTCAAGGGCGCTCTCCTCGACACATCGACCGGGCACTCCTGGTAGTGAGATGGTTAGTGACACAGCCTCTATAGTCTCGGCGTCCGTGTCGGCATCTCGAGCTGGATCTCCTCCACCATCCAGAGTAGGCGCTGCTGCAGTTCGTACAACCACGAAGAGCCAACAACGCAAGCAACGAAAGGACGCCCTCAAGCAAGATACAAAAGCGATCGCCGAGGCTCCGAAGCCTGAGCTAGAGGAACACGCTCCGGTTCTAGGTCGAAAGAAGAAGCAGAAAAAGGAAAAGGCGCGAAAGACAGCCGTTCCCCAGCTCCAGGAAACGGCAGGGGGGTCTGATACGAAACTTGCAGAGGAGGAGAAGCCCGCGCCGGTGAAAGCCACTGAAGACGTTGTTACTCCACCAGCTCCTAGCAAACAGGGACCGCAGGCTCCGCCAGAGCCAACCAGCAGCGAACGCAAAATTGAGAACAAGGGCAAGGCGGTCGAACGTGCTCCAAAGCCATCCCCCGTAAAAATCGAGGACGACAACAAGACTCTTACTGCAGAGCCAACTCCCGTTTCAGAGGGTGGCGAGGTCGAGGAGGTCGACAAAGACGAGAAACCGCAGCTCGGGCCGCTTTCTATCTTCAATGACATTAAAGACAGCCTTTGGACGGCCACGGTCGATAAACTTCACATGCTAAAGCCAGTGACTTCTACTTCCTCCAGGGTGGAGCAGAGCACCTCTAGCAACTCGGGTAGCAAGCACGGTGACAGCACTGTGTCTCCGGCATCAACTGAGGACCGGGCCACCCGTTGCAAGGACACCGCTTGCAAGTGCGGCGAGATTCAGGACTCTGACCTTACAGCATTGCGAGCCGGAAAGCCGGTCCGCAAACAATTCCACGTCGATGGTAGCAGAATGCTGATTACGCCCAACGGGGATTGCGTTCGCGGGTTGACTGTTGAAGAAGAGAACACGTTCCTGGATCTGCAGAATTCCATTGCCGGCCATGCCGAGCATCCTGGCGCTTTCGTTGCAGCTAGGCATCAACCTGGAAGCGGCGCGTTCTCACTCATCAAAGGGAGAGCTGTTCCTAATGGGCGCCCGAACATCTTCCCTGCCACATCCCAACCCCAGACACAAGACCCAATCGGAAAGCTCCAGCGGGAGGATGCTCTGAGCTATATCAACCAGTACGTCCTTCCAAGGCTCAACCTGGGTCCCACCAATGTCGGTTGGCCAAAAGGCGCAACCTTGCGGCAAGATGCTGCAGCGGCAAGCCTCAACTCCTTGGCCCCATACTTCTATGGTCCTGATGCCGCTGCCGGTGTCGGTATCTACAGCGCACCAGACGGCAAGGATTTCAGTACCCCCTCGACAGTTCTTCATCACCCCACTGAGGACGGAGCGGCCAAGTTTGGTAATGCCGGTGTGAGTGGCATGCCTTTGATGAGCGTGGAGGATGCGGAGGGCGCACTCGTAGCAGCGAGGAAGGAAACGGAGAAGCTGGAGAAGGGCTTGAACCAGGTTATTAAGAGAAACCGAAGGCTTCTGGTCGGAACCGGCAACTAGCGGTGTGGTATCCTTTGATCATTGATTTCTCAGCGCCCAAACTGGGGAATGTACCAAAATGTAGAATTATTGTGTATATCTTATCTAAATTAGGAGCCATGTGGTTCTTCTAGCGAACAAAGCAATTGTTTCTCTCACGTCGGTCAGTTCATCCAACGATTAATGTGCTTTGGGCCTTAGTGAGGAGATGACTTCGCTGAACTCGTCTTTGATGAGACGCTCTTCGACCTCGCTGGAGGCTCAACAACTTGATGGCGGCTTTATGTTGCAGCTCAGCCTTGATCACTAGGGCAAAATTTAGCATACTCATGCCATAATCATTTTTCCATACATCTGTTTAGTCGTTTGAAACTTGTTCTCGTTAAAGACTGAGTAGCTAGGCCCCGACTCTGGTCCAAGGGGCTACCCTAGACATCTCACCTCGCCTCACTGTATTAGTTCCCATCGGGCCGTCTATCGTTTTACTCTTGGTTGGGATAGGACTCGTCGCCGCATGGCTATTTGTAGGACAACACTGTTACAGAAGGTTTCTAAATACTTCGTTAGAGGCGGAAGGGGGTTGAATAGAAACATAGCTTCAACCTTGGGGATGACAACCACAAAGGGAAATAACTTTAGAAAGAATGAGACATGTGCGATGAAAAGATACGAGGTTTCTGAAAAGCTTATTCAGTTTCTAAATTTGGTTTGCTATAGACTAGAGTATGGGCCTAACACAATTCTAGTGAAATCTCAAAGTAATAAATTGTGTGTTTGATATACTGGCGTTGGAGTCGTCGTCTAATGGAACCCGTCTTCAGCTCCTGTGCTCCATATACTCATCACAGGCTTCCCGTCGTCGTCGATCCATGCTCTAACCATTCCAGCACAGTTGAAATCCATCAAGACCTCTGCACTGGCGTCTACGATCCTCCCCTGGCTATCTCGAGAGACGATGGATTCAATGGCAATCATCCCGCCCTCACCCTCACCAGTCTTTCCAAATCGAGATCCCGCGCTGCGCTGAAGCTCGCCTCCTGTACCGGCGACATTGGCGAGCGCCTTCGCAGTTGATTCTGGCTTGAAACGAGCCATGGCGGCAACGGTCCGCGCTGCGTTTGTTCGTAGGAACGAATCACCGTTGCCGGTACCAGATACACCCATGGATCTAGTGCTTATCGTTCCTGTTGAAGGAAATCCTGATGAGACTGGGCTGTACAGAAAGGGGGTGGGAAGACAATCTGCAACGAGTCCTCTCAGCGAGTCCGACAGACTAAAGAGCGGCGAACCATAAGATGTGAATGCTGCTTTCGACATGTCCCATAGAGAAGACGCTGGCCCCTCCTCTTCCCACTCCTCGGCCCAAAATCCTGCACCAGGCACGGGAGTGTCTCCCACTCTCCCGGTCAACTTGTTAGTCAAACCTCCAGTGCTCGTCGCAGCGCACACGACGCCATCCTCATCCATCGCAACTGCGCCGCATGTCCCCTGCGATAGATACTCGTCCATCGACCACGTAGCACCGCCCTTTCCAAGCTTCTCTCGCTCGAGCGCCCTTATATGCTCATCCCAACGCTGCTGCGTGAAAAAGTAGCTCGTGTCCACGAGATCAAGCCCATACTGCCTGGCCAGCTGCTCCGCCGTCTCGCCATAAATCTGCGTGTGCCCTTGAGCAGACGGAACATCAAGATCACTCTCACCCGTCGTCGAAAAGTCAGAAGAAGAAGCCATCTTCGGCGCAAGATCCCTGTCCCCTTCCTCGAGCATGCGGCGCGCGAGCAGGATGGGGTTGCGTACACGCCGCAGGCCCATGACGCCCACGCCGCGCTTCGCCCGGCCGCGGGAGACCATGACCGAGGCCTCGAGCTCATTGATCCCGTCGCGGGTGAAGACGGCGCCGTGCCCGCTGTTGAACAAGGGGCTGTCCTCGAGCTGGACGACGGCGTGGGTGGCCATCTCCAGGGCGGACGGGCGGTGCCGCAGCTTGCCGTCGCTTGTTATGCTGTCCATGTACGCTGCCGTCTTGGTCACGATGGAGAGGAGAGTTGTGCGGTATAGCTCATATTTCTCAGGGGTGAAGGTGTCTCGTCGGACGTTGCCTGCGCCTCCGTGGATGATCAGCCGGGGCTTCAGCTTTGGGCTGGGGCTTGGGTGGTTTTGCTTGAATTCCATCTTGGATGAATAAAACTGACGGGTCCTCGCAAATGAAATAAAAAGGTGTAGGTGGGTTGATATGTGATGTGGAAAGAGAGAATAGTTGTGTTAAGATAAGACAACGAATTGAAGCAGCGGTTTCGGCGATCTCACACCACTTATCTATAACAGCAAATGGCGACATACAAGGTTGCACCCCCACTCAATCTATCACAGAACTTGATAAAATTGTAAGAAGAATAATGAGCAGACAATAAACTATACTAGGATGATGTTTTGATAATTTCTTCATTATTCTTATGGTAATTGTTACTTTTATGCGGAATTCATAGTTGAAGGCTTATGTGCCATAGGTTAGGATGTCACTTGGTGGGCAGGTGGGCAACCCCTCACTCCGATCAGGGAGATCCCCAGCATCCCTTCCAAATTGATTCAGAACCAGTTGGTCCCATTGAGGGGTTTAAGATATGTACAATATATCCTATCTTCTTTTGGACTTGGGTATCTTGTATATTTGGTGAGACAGAAAGGAAACTTCGGTTCCTAGAGTATGAACACATTAAATACACATAAAGAGCATATAAGATGCTTATAGACATAGCCTTATTCATTCCAAGTACGCCGGGAAGGTACCTTGCCCAAAGCTTTGAAGATCGTGGGGCTTAAACAATAATGTGTAATTCAAATACATGTCTGGCTCGCTCGTGGATTATCGCATTTGAGGAAAATGCATGAATGGATTGTAGATTGGTATCCGGTTGAACATTGCCTGGTCGAGAGCCTTGTCGAGGTCTTTCGGCCGTATCGCGGGTGTTCGGCCAAGGCATACGGCGTTGGCACAAATTCCTAAGACATGTAAGCTCCATTAATGGATGGGAGATGTGCGTTGTAAGCATACCTTCTGCCAAGACGGTGACGTCTATATCTACGGTCATCTTGCGGGAGGGCGGCGGCGGCGGAGGCGGTTGCGTCGGGATGGCCGGGCATATGAACGGAAAGATGCTGTTGGTGTCCGGGGCTCCTGGCGTTGAACCGTCTTTGAATAAGGGCGGGCCCGTGTTGGGACCACTGATCAATTTGGGGCCGGTGTCACGGGGCTTGTTGTAAGCAAAGATGTCGACTGCGCCGTTGAAGTCATCCAGGTCGACCTGGGCCTTCACGTAATCTGCGTTGCCGGGGATGTAGATGCCTCGCTCACGCATGTAAATCTCAATCTCACCTGTGTCTAGAAATTCACCTGTGAAGCCGGGAAATAAAATCTGCATCCTCTTACCGATGCGGCATTTGACATTCTCTATTGATGAATCCCAATGAGGTCCCATCGAATACCCTGTGTTATGCTGAGGCCGGTGGGCTTCATAGGTGCCCTGGTTGCCATAGGGAGCATCGAATGACGAGCTACTCGAGGAATCGGATTGGCTGGTTGCATTGGGGTAGTGCCATCCCGCGCCGCCCAGGTTTGTGAAAGGAGCCCTCCAGTAGTTGAGAGATTCGCCCCGGGCAGCCATGAGCCTGTCCCTTAGGCGCCAGGTAATCGATTCGCGAGATTCAAAGAGAAGACAGAATCCAAACACGGCGTGATACCTATCCGGAGGTGGAGACTCCATTGATACAAGTCTCAAACCACGTTCGAGGATGTTGCGCTGCATACGGCGACCGAAAGTTAGCTCCTGGTGGGCATACGAAACTGGAGCCTGCAGACCTGGGCCTATTGCTTCCACGTAACATGAAGCGGTTGCAACTGGGATTTCTTCATCGAGGTCAAGATCCTCGGGCGCCTGCGCGCTAGGGTCGTAGTCGGGGAAGCTGGCATTGCTAAGCGTAGGATGAGCAAGAATCTCATAGGAGGAGTCGACCTGCAGAGCTTGGGTCACCTCGACGAAGCTGGGAGACGAGCTGTGGGCCGAGTCACTTGGCCTGAGCAGGGGCAGAATGCGTCGATGACCGTCGGTGCCATTGCTCACTACACTTGAACCGGACGGATCTACAGCTTGCGGGTGGCCGGCGCCTGCGCTGGCGCTCTCGGAAGCTATGGTTTGGAATTTGCTGCTGATATCCTGCAAGCGCCGCGAGACCTCGACGTTGTTGCTGGCCAGCGCGCCCTTGGTGTTTGCAAAGTCGATGAACTTGGAGAACTCGTTGGCCATGTTGCTCATCTTCTCGTGGGCCTTGAGGAGCTTATCCTCCAACTCCGTGATGGCCGAGTCCTTGCGCGCGCGGTATGCGCGCTGAGCCTCGCGAATTTGCTGGCGTCGGCGCTGCTCGGACGATTAGCGCCCTGAACCATGGCCTGGGGAAACACCTGGAGCTGGTCAAGGGAAGGGGGAGACTCGCCTCACTGTGGCCGACGTCTCCCGAAGTTACTTTACGGGGCCGGCCACGGGTCTTCTTTCTCTGGCCTGATGGCTCACCATCTCTGGCTGGGTCTGGAGACTGCTCACCGGCCTCGGCGGCGTCTGCCTCGTCAGCATCCTCCACTCTCGCCCGCTTCCGGGTCGCCTTGGGAGGGCCCCGGGACGGTTTCGTCGGCGCTGCCGAGGATGTGTCTGTAGATGGGCCTGCCTTGTCCTGGCGGCTATCAGCCGACGCTGCATTCCTGGGCATGGGGGGCGGCGCCTGTGGTTTGTCAGACCTGAGAGCAAGCGGCACAGGCCAGTCAACGACGGTTGACCGGGGAAGCAAAGGGGGTTGGGGCCAACTACGCAGCGAGTCCGTCGGGGTCGGATCAATAGCCGGAGCTACTCCCAGACCGTTGCCTTGGGACGATCTGCTCAGGGTCTCGTCCTGAGAGAGAAGCGGTTGCTGGAAGGTCTGCGGGACGGCGGTGGGGAAGAAACTCGCATCCGCTGGTGGAGGCTGCTCAGTAGCGCTAACGCAGTTAATGTTAGAGGTGGTTGCAGCGCCTGCGGGGTCTGGCGGGAAGATCTGAGATCCAAGCTCGAACGTGTATCGATCGGGCAGCAGCTGGCTCTCCGGCAGGCCAAACAGGTTGGTGTCAACAGAGAACGGGGGAGGGAGGAAGAGGTCGGATGGCTGCAGCTGCTGGGGACACGGGGCGTGATAGAAGTCGTGTATTTGAGGATGATCAGGTTGGAAATTGGTCTGGGCAACGGAGCGCGGGCTGCAAGTCGGCAGTGGCAGCAGACTGAGCCTAGACTGGGAATGACCCCCACAAGGACTGCTAAGACTCGTGTGGCTGTGGTTATTCTCATCCTGGTCCTGGTGGCCCTGGCTCGCCTGCTGGGGCCAATCAGCCTGGCCGGCGCCATCGCGAGCTGCCGACATGGGCGACGAGCTTCTGGTCCGCCGTCCTCTGCTCTGATACCGGCGCCTCCTTCTAGACCGCACCCGAGCTGGGCGGACAGCAGCAGAAGAGGCGGCTGGAGTTTATGCCTGCGAGGCAGTGACCGTGTACGCCGTGTGGTGATCTTTACGCCCTGGACCATGCCATGAGGGACGGCAACCGTGCGGCAGGGTTACGGGGTTGGCCATTCGCCGTCATCGGCATGCAGGCAGCGGTCTGGGTCCAGCTGAGGAATCGTTTTGGATGTTCAAGGGCAGAATTGAGGTTCTGGAAGCTCCGGACGGGCCACTGAGTACGACTAAGTGTTGGATATTGAGAGACCTTGAGCGGACGGACATTGTAGATCAGACCGTTTCTGCTAACACCAGGACCAACGGCCGGTTTAAAATCCCCGGGTGGGCAAAAGTGACATTAGGTACACCGAATATCTTCGGACTCGATTTGGCTGACTCAAACTGGCTGCGCACGGGAAGGGAGACGGATAGGAAGTTGCACTTGGTTGCCTACATACACGAGGCTAAGATCGCTGTGAACAAAAAGGAACGAGGGTGAATCTAGTATAGTTGATGGAGTCTCTCGCTATGATCCCCTTCGACGAATCCATGCTCCTTTACTGTTCGATCGTGGTGGAGGAACGCCCCGGCCCTCCAACGAGTACGAGACGGGCGGTACCAAATCACTTGCACACAGGAGTGTTGAGATTTACATGCGGATGATTGTAATTGCTAGCATAAAACCAATTTCCTTGTACATCCTCTAGCTACGTCTCAATCGCCACCTGCCGTCTTCCATTCCAAGACCGTGGTGGCAGAGATGGAATCATTGCGACCTCTACATAGGTACGTGCAGTATGGGAGTCGATGCAAGCCTCAAGTATACCTTGGTAACGCAGTATGGTCTCAAAATTATACAACATCTAGGGCGTCTAAGTATCAATAGCAGACTGCCCCTATCAAATGAATAGACTGAGAGTGGATGAACTGATGAGCGAGGTGGGAACCAAACAGCCTCATCACATCGTCATTACACCACCAGTCAACTTGCTGACCATCCGAGTCTTACGGAGCAAGAAAACTACCTGCATGGTGCCTCATAAGCTTATTGGACGATCAAAAATACCGAGATCCAAGATCGCTGGACTGGGCAGGGGTCCTCTCGATCTGGCCAGTTGGATGCCGGAATTAGGCGTGCTGAGTGCAAGGAATCCAAAGTTCCAATTCTGCTTCCTTTTTTCTCGTGCGCCAAAAACAATGGATTTGATTGGGGCCATGCAGCAACCTCTCTTGGGAAGCATTGTTTCACTCCGCAAGCCACCTCTGCCGTTGGTTGCGCGAGACAATTTCGGTTGTCGGCTGCCGGTGTCTTGTCGTACGTGTTCTGCTCTCTTCGACCAACGAATTGCGCCCACTGGCACAACCAACCGGGCATAAATTTAGGTTCTAACGGGCTATTCTCGCCCACCCGCTTTCTTAGCTCCCGTTGCTGTCTGGCGTCTCCTCTCCCTAGCGACCTTTGATCCGTGCTAATTAATACTCTCTCGCGGTTTCATTATGGTGAAGGATGCACGTGGTCTGGTTGGAGAATCTAGATGATTTCAGACGACTAATCCATCATAAATCAGAAATTGTCATCTCAAGACTGAATTATGTCGGAATATTACCTCCACCTCCAGGTAGCCTTGGCACATGCCAATCGAATAGCGGGTCCGATCGCCAGGTCTTAGCTTCCACACAAGCGCCTAAACAGAGCCTAATTTCGACTTTCTTTTTAGTAATCTTTGATGAATATCAAGGCTGTTGTTCGTGAAGCTGTTGGCAGAGAGCCGTTGTCAGCCAGCGGGTTATAATTCTTCTATTAAATTCTATCCTTCAGAGCTCTCTCACGCTATGCTCAATACCAATGCTCAGCACATGACATCACTCACCGATGGAAGGATCTGGGCTCCATGCAGGTCTTGCACTTCATCCCACCACCTGCTGCGCCGTTTGCAAATGCGTGGAGCTTTGAGCTGAACACCAATCTCAACACCAGTATGGAGCATATGGCGATCCATTCGGTTTGCACAGACGAGCTCTAATTTGTTCATCCTTCTCCTTTCTCCATCGTAGCTGAGATGGCGTCCAGCCACATATGCAGGTGTCAGCCATCTATATCCTCGGTTGCCTGGAGTCGCGAGTGCGCCACCCTTCTGCGACATATACGACCAACGGAAAATAAGCGGTCTATAGGTTTTCGTACATTATTGCTTTTTCCAATTGACCATGTGATCCCACTTACCCACCCATACTGTCGTTAGTCGCACGTCGTTCTCTCCTTCATGGCTTGGGTGCGCGCTTTGATGCTCGTTGTGAGAAGTGATGGGGGAGAAGAGAGGGACTGGTTCCGTCTGTTCAGTTCCTCTCATGCATTCTCAATCGTCTAGCAAGGCCCGGAGCGTGATTAGACCTCGAAGATTGGTAGTCTTTGAAATGTGATATTCGTCGTCCATTTTACATGATGATATAGTACAAAATTTTCTTGTTAGTAGGGTATGTCATAACTCATGCCGGACCTCGTCTGTGTGGCTTATCCCTGGATGCACTGTACCCTCGTACTGCTTTGCTGCCAGTATGCTCTGATTTGTCTCCGTCCATCCACCGGATCAGCCGAAACTCTTGCAGCTCAATCGCCTCGGCCCATACAGGTGAGACGAACGTGTCGTTCTCATTTCCTTGCGTCGGCTCAGCGGCCGCCCCGAGCTTCTCCCTCGCTCGGTGCCAAGCCCCCAAGGCAGGCATGGCCGCGAATCTCTCGGATCTCGTCTCCTGCGCGGCCAAGGCGTCCGCCTCTGAATTCAATACGCTTACGGGATTCGCTAGCGAGTCCTTGCCACGGCCAGCGCGCTCAGCACGCTCGCGCTCCGTGATCTGATGGAGTGCATGGCCTCGGGCCACCCAGTCATCGTAGAGCTTTTCCAGGGAAAGCTCGTACCACAATTTGCTCACGAAGACGCTCCATTGAAAAGTTTCGCGGCGCCCTGGAGTGCGAGGCTGCTTCTTCGTCTCACGTGCTATCTGGTCCTCAACCAGTGACTCCCATTCATCCTCTAGCACAGCCTGAGGTATTTTTTTTTCTGATACGTCAATTCCTTCGATCCTCCTCTTCCACAGGAAACGTCTCCTGTTTATTATTTGCCCAAGTACGGGCGGTTGTGGTTTCGTGAAACGTAGGAACGGGATTTCGAAACAATCTGCAGCCAACACGGGAGGTCGCCCTGGCTTCTTCTCCCCCTCAGGTCTGGGGTTCGGGACATATGCTGGCGGCTCGCCAGGGCCAGCGACCTGGCGCAGGAGTGGGACATGGGATTTTGGGTTTCTCATTTTCGGGTTTGCTCGAGATGATCTTAGTTTTCGAGATTGATCTGCTTTTGAAGCTCGTTCGGCGAGAATGGCAAGCACTTTGGAATGCTCGGGAGATCCCGTGGTTTGGGCTTTCGTCAATACAGTTAGGAACTTGAAGCAAGATGATTAGCAGTTGTCATGAGAAGATCACACGCGTACAAGGATTGGGACCAATTGTATAGTACCCTGTAGCCTGTAGCCATAGACGAGTAAACGAGTCTAAAGCTTGTGTATTTGACATGATTCTCGAAGCGTTTTCTCACTAGGTGAGCAACGGGGTGGGTTCGCGCATGCTTGCTGAGCTCTCGCGGTATGGCAATCTTTTGTGAGGTTCGGATGAGCGCCCGGTAGAGAGATATAGCTGCAATACGATGTCGGGAGTTCTTTGCTGCGACGAAAACCTGGCGTCCCTCGCGCATGTTGGGTGGTGGCGTGTCGGTTGCTACTACGAGATAAATGGTTGATGGAGCCTCAGATCGTTGACTCGGCGCATGGCTGATGTGTATCAATTCGACATGTAGACTGATAAGAACTTCGGATCCTGGCTGAATTAAGCAATTGAAAATCAAAACATTGCACAATGGGTCGGCTGAGAGCACATGATGTCGTGCTATTCCATGACCTTGTCGTTTGGTTGTTGTTGAAAGATATCAAGAAGCGAAAACTTGGGTATAGTGATGACTAAGATTTCGGAACCACCAAGCCCATCTGCTCTGCAGATGGAACTGTAATATGATCAACTATTTTGGATTATGCTGTCTTTTAATTTTAACTCGCTTCATCTCATTATCTATAACAGTTTCCAACATTAATCAGTGACTAATCTTGGATATCTACTTATGATGCTGTTTCTGGATATTGTGATATGTATTGGAAGGTTGAGATATCAGAGAATAATGGATGTAGTCGCATCTTGCAAAATATGTAGGGATTCATATCTTGCACTAATTATATCAGCGCTGATAATTCTGTTCCGGTCAATCGATCCCGGGTCCTGGTCAATTGCGATACAGTGGCAAACCCTCTTGCAAGGCTGGGCTGCTTGTTTCTCGTTTGGCCCATACGGAGGCTGTTAGTATCAGATGGATGTCATAAAACGCGAGTTTTACACTGGGGCAAGGGAGATGCGCGCTAGCAAAGATTGCCGCCCGGATTCCACATCTATCGGTGCTGGATTATCTAAGGTCGGCAAGCAAAGAAGCCCGAGACCGATGTGATGCTCCGCGGATCCCTTTTTATAGCAGAAAAATTTTGGCGCCAGCGTTGTCGCGTGCTCGGAATGCTCGGGGGCTGTTGGTCATATGAACTACAGTAGGGCGGCAGAGCCGGAAGCGCCAGCAGACGCGAGATACCAAGGAGTTGGCATGAACAGTCAGAAAAGCCCCTGAGAAATAGGGAAATTACCTGCTGGGTTCTTGACTCAATGGCGATGTCGAAATCTTTGATATTTTCGTGCGTAAGGCTGGCCAGCCACAGCATAAGATGGGTGGGTGGGTTGAAATGGTACTATAGGCCAGGGTCACGGGACCGCCGAAGCAGGATGGAATAAAAGAACACAGGCGAGAAGGAAATAATGAAAAAGAAATAAAGACAATGCTAAGTGGACTGTTTCATTAACTCTGACCTGTTTTGCAGACGCAGAGCCACGGTGTGAATCATTTCATGTATTCGTGTTGCTCTGTCTTAATCGGATCCTGCAACTCATTGGCAGGATTGATGACTTGGTGGGCTGCTATTCGCGGATATTAGAGGCTACCTAGTAGTTTCATCCACTATCCTCTAATAATTCGAGCCGGAGCCCCCCTTTACTGGGTCAGACCGTGTGATCGCCATCCCCTTTGAGATGTGGCATGCATGCCATGGTAGCGCTGCTCTTCCTTACCGCCGCGAGAATGGAGAACCCCTGTCTTTCGTACTCGTACTGGGTGAGATGGGTAAGGTAGGCGATTATCTCAGCGCCCTGAAAATTACGTATCTATCATACGACCATGGGTCGGGCCCCCTTCTCGCCCACTGAGATCCGAGTACGACGGCTCCAGGCGACCGGGTTCAGCTCGCCTGCAGCCCCGTGGAATGGCTGAATATGTCCCTGGCCCTAGTCTCGAGACCGCAACTTCAACATCGTGGCGCTGGCTAGTGCCTGGGAATTTACTGCCTGTGCACACCGCGGGATTAGAGATCTCGTAAGATACTGGCCGTCGCTCACCTGAGGGTGTTTGTTGTACAACATGGTGCTATGCCCGCCCTGGTCGTCACTCACTTACCGACCGATTTAGAGCCCACCGTGCCGAACTCCAGATTGTGTGTCTCAAGGCACTTTTCCAACTACGGGCCCAGCCTCAGACAAATACCCTTTCTTTTACCAGGCTCCTTTTGAAAGCTACCAGGCGCCCGGGCAAGGTTCATAAAATCGCACTGTTTTCGCTTCCTCTCTTTCCACATTTGTGAACCAATCGAGCCTGCAGTTACTCGGTCGAAGTGGTCTGGAGCTTGACGGCCAGCACGCTCCGTTACCTTCCGCCTACATCCAGGGACCACCAGCTTACCGCCATTCCCACCTCTCGATATTTACCTTTGTACAGACACCTGAACTGGGGGTTATACCAGGGCCTGCTACTGGTATACATTCAATGAGGCCGTGATATCGGTCTATAATAATACTTCGCTCCCCTCCCCAACAAACTCCCTGGCCGATCCTCTTGGTGCGCGCCATCTCAATTCGCCCACATACATCCCATCGCGGCTGGCAAAACACCTTATACGACCATAATGTTCCTCCACGCCGGCGCAGGCCTCCATGGCCACGAATTCTCAGGCCAACAGACATCTCAACCACAACCAAGACGATTCCCTCTGCTCCGTTCCGCACTACGACCTCTGACTGTCGAATTCCCCGAACCCAAGCCACTGGAGGTCTCTTCCTCCTCGTCCTCGTCCTCTGGGCGGCGATCTCTGTCCGATGACAGCCCGCAGACATTAGTACCTGCCCGCCGACGTCAGCTATCGGAAGTAACAACACCCAGAAGAGAACTCTCCGTCAGGTTCCTGGACCCTCCTGTAGACTCAGCGCCATCTCCAGCTCCCACTTTGACTGATGACGAGTCCGTTGCTGGATCCGACCACAGCATCACGAGCAGCAGAAGGAGGAGACAGAAGAGACTACCGGGCGACTCGAGTCGCTTCGCCTTGGCTCATCCCGCTCCTCACCCCCGAACACGACGAGGGACACTGGTCCAGATCCGCCCACGAGTGCTTCTCCAGCTCCAGAGGCTCAACGAACAACGACCAGTCCCAGCCTTTGAGGTGGTCCCCTCCAGCATCGTCTCTGGTTCCATCATCATCCCCAGGCTCGCCAAACGATTTCCCCGCTATTTCCGCGCCAAAGCTGAGCTGGGGCCCGATGATATTTTATTTCTCCGGAGTGAAGACTATAACTCGCCATCAGTGAACTTGGACCCTGATGAGGACCATCAACTGGACAACAGAGATATCATTGCAGTCGTTTCCCCTCTCCCAGAGCGGGGTGATGACGGTGCCGAAATTGTTTTGGAAGATGGCACAGCATGGACAACGAGCCTGCTAAGCAATGGATCATATGAGTTCAGATCGGTGGATAATCAGGGACGAGTGACGGCCGCACGCTGGGTCAAGCGGGAAGCTCGGCCAAAGATGAAGTCTTCAGACTACATGGACGCTTCGCCTTCACCGAGTCCGGCTCCCCCGGAGTATAAGTGGACTTTCAGTGTGATCGACCCTTCGACAAGACGCCATCCTATCCTTGGTGTATTAACGAAGAATGAGCTGGAAATTTATCACACGTACTGCACTTTGTCCTCATCCAGCGGTCGAAGCCCGCCGACCAAGTCTTTTGATGTCGCCAGGAAAGAGCGCATCTTGCGTTCAATGACACCACCCGCAGATGAGCGGATGACCGTACCTGTTCCCGGAGAACACAAGCGGCTTATGATGGTCACTGCTAGCTGGATCAGCCTGCGACAGGAAGGCTGGCCTGAATCAACGCACTCGCGAATCAGACGAGCGATGCCAAGGTGCAGGTCATCCAGCGTCAGCAGCAACAACACAGATCATCGCCGCTCTAACACCCTACCTGAAATCTCAACGGCAGGCCTTGTTTCACGACCACCGGTGGTTCAACGAATGTTCACCGACAGTGTCGTGGCTGGCCAGGCTCCAGAGAAGCCAGGCCTCCAGAGACGGTTGTCTGCAGGCGCAGCTTTTATGCGCAAAAGACGATTGTCTCTGGACCTCAGCGAAAAACCCAATTTTGAGATGGATGCGGCAAGTACTTTTACAGCAAGCACATATGCGGCGAGTACTTACACAGCCCCCGTCCCCCCAACATATCCCACGACGCCCAAGGTGGCGACATACGAACCATACAGCACACCACTTGTCCCGACAGAGGACAAATCAAATACATGCCGCCTTGTGGTGAGGCGAATAACGCAGCGAATCAGGCGGATGTCAATCAGCAACCGTTTTGGAAGCAAGTAACGAATTTCCTTATTCATATACCTATAAACATTCATGTATCATAGACAAAGCCTAGCCAACTGTTGATGAAGGGCCATCATTTCAATGAGCCTCAGATGAAAGGAAGAAAAAAACTTTAAATACCTAATCATGTATCTATCTATATCTACAAATATATCTATATTTAGCCATCTGAGATAACAGGCCCCTTCTTCCCCTCGGTGACGCGAATCCCCCTCCCCCTCCGCCGCACGCATCTCAACATCTGAGCCTGCTAGTGTGTCGGAAACTCGGAATGCGGGCCAGGCGGGAGCGGCAGAGTGGGGCTTCCCCAAACCGGAGCATCAAAGCGTGTCATTCAAAACCCTGAATTTTTGTATGCACACCAAACGGTACTTTGACCACCTCATTTCGCCAAACCCCTCACCTTTAGAACTCAATAAACGAACAATAAGTGTATAATATACCCTCATTAAACATACTTTTATATTACTTAGATCTCTAAGAACCTTTTCAGAGTTTTAATTTACTATTTTAATAGATATCGGCTGTTGAATTGAGAATCGAAAATCCCAGTGATTTGCGTGTGCAATGTCTTATGTCACCCGCTTGGCAGGAAAACTAGCTCTACATCTGCTGGAGGCATGGGATCTGCTGAGCTTTGCCAGCGATGGCGCGAGACGCATGCGTTGGAGATATCACGTAGCTCGCGTCGAGCTGAGTGTTGCCAGCACTTCTGGTCAGAGGGTGTCATCCGACTGGGCCAATCCAATCCGTGTTGGTGCGTCGTCGACGACTCAGATATGTACTTGCCTGCGGGGTCGTGTCGTGTGACAAAAACAAGTGCGCGACCAACAAACGGCTGGGCGTCAATTTTTGCAATGTTGGTGGAAGGGCAAGGAAGGATATCGATGGGCTTCGCGGCGCCTGATTCGATTCCTCGGCATATGGCGCGCGTCGTTGGAATTGCAATGGCAGATTAGGTGCCAGCTGTCGACGTCACCAGGGCCCCTACGATTATGCGAGTCATCACTGCCTGGTCGTGGGAGTGAGCGAGTGTGGGTGGATTTGTTGTTCTTCGCAGGGAATATCACAGGTTTTATTGGGAATTGAGGGCTCGTGAGCGTACAGAGAAGCTTCTGGAAAGCTTGGGTCTGATATAGCTTCATGGCAAGCGATTAAGAGGCATTCTTGATTCACGGGCAGGCGATCGTCATGCTAACTGGCTGCTGCGACTTTCACATGATAGCTGTTGATGGTACGAGAGGGGTATGGATTAAGGGATTCGTTATGGATATCGACCAGTAATGACGAACTGGGTTAGTTACGTGCGAAGGTATTATTAGTTGATGGGCCTAGAAGCACTCAATTTATCGGGCGCATGTGCATCTCCAATTCCAGAGAGATGCGGGAACTGGGTTGCAATGGCTGCATCAAACGCAGCACTTCTGCTGCAGGAAGGCCATGATGGCAATGCTGGCTCAGTTCGCAGGTTGCCGCAACGGCCTGCAGAATGACTGGAACTCATTTGCGTTTTCAGTGGATAGGCGCCTTAGCTACAGCACAACACAGATTGACCGAAAGCTTGACCTAACGTTGGGAGGCCGCAGCTGGGGAGAGGTCCGTGGTGGCGGGAGGATGCCCCACCGTTGCGTGAGAGCTCCCCGGAATTTTTCTAGACCCGTGGGCGCTGGTGGTGGTGCGGTAGACTTAGGCAGTATAGCAGTCGTAGACGCTGAGGAGAGTGGACAGCTGCGGACTTTGGGGGTCCTCACCCACCCTTCCTCTCTTCAGGCTACCACCTGTGGTCATCATCACCGTCCAGCATCCACATTTGTTCTTTTGTCCATCGCACCCCCCTCCCACGTCCATCGTCTCCTGCACAAGGCTCCAGATACTTGAATGGTGCGGCGCTGCCTCATCAAACCGGTATCTCTTTGTCAGTTGACGACACTCGCCAAACTCGGCCCTCTGCATATCCAATGGGCCTCGACTGGATCTTGCATCTCCTATCCTGGTCTTGATTCATGCATGTTTGCGTCGTAGCTGAGCTCCGACTGTGTCAGACCATCCACACCCGCATTCTCAGGACGGCGTCGACGACAGCATCGACATATATAGAGAGCCATCAATCAGCATATCCCGCCCGTTAGCCGTCCACCCAAGGCAGCTGATGACCACGATTATCGATTAATACTGGAGCTCCCTTCGAGATAACCCCCCAACTGCCACGTTGGAGTAGGCCTCCCGTTGTCCCCGTCTCACATTAGTGTGTGGCCATCGACACGGCCATCCACCTCGTCGCTATGGACGACAATCCTGGCCCTCGCCGCGGGGACCATGCTGGCGCTCTCTCGGCCTCGACTGCCGCCCACCTCTTCGCCAACTTCACACCGTACGAACCCATCTCCCGTGCGACGACCCCCGGCATACCCTGCGCCAAAGTAGACGACGACGACAAGAAGCGATACCGGCCCCGAACATTTGCCTACTTTAGGCAGTTGCCGTTCGAGGTTGAAGACGAATCCGAACGAGATGCTGCTCTGCAGCAGATCCTAAAACAGCTCTACATTGCCATTAAGGCTGAGGACTTCAGCCCAGGCGCTTTGCACTGGACAAGGGAGCTGTCAGCATGGCTCAATCTCAAATTTGAAATGACGAGAGAAGACAGGGCCAAGCTTGCCAAGTTATACTTTAGTCTTGCACTTGCACCTGGGTTGGACCATGCTGCCTCTGACCGTTTCTTGCGGATGGTGCTCACGCTCACAAGGTTCGCCATAGTCTCGAGCCCATTCTACATCCTCTTGAACGAAATTCTGTACTAACTGGTAGCTGTAATAGAAAGAGTCACTACCTCAAACCTGGAGAGGACCTCACGTTCGATTGGCGACCCCTCTGGGAAGAGCTCAGGCCATGGATATTATCCTCCGAAGCCCCACCCCATCAGACCAGCCGCCGACGCTCGATGAAGCAGCTCCTCAAGCTGTGCACACACGCAAATACATTCTTTGATCCAAGTGAGCGTCGCGAGATGCTGGAGGTGTTCTTGCCGTACTTCAGTGTCAACGATCTGCCCAATGCCTTCATCGTCATTGGGTTGCTTAATGCCCTCTTGCCCAGTCAACCTGCCCCAGAGCATGATGTCAAGTCGCAGCCCGGCACCTTCTTCCCTACTCTGTTCCATCTGTGGTCGATCTTGAACCGATCTAAGGTATTCGACACTTTTGTGATAGATTTGTTTTCCAGAATGGCCAGAGACCACCTGCACTGCTCCTACGTGCCCTTCAATGAGTATGGTATCTTCACCAAGGAACAATCCAATCTCATTTTCACCGCCATCCTTCGCTTGACAGGCATTCCCGTTGGCCAGGCCAGTTCACCGTACACTGCCCTAGATTATCTGTCCGGGGCTGCCGTGTTCCTTGAGAAAGACAAAAAGAAGTATCCAATTGCGTACATGCTCTCCCGTCTAATTGTGTACTCCCTGTCACCCCTGTGCCTGGAACACGAAGAATCTACCATGGCTAGCTTAGAGGGTCTTATGGAATCGATTGATACATTTTTCCACCCCTCGAACCAGGGCTCCTGGACTGCATTGCTAGGCCAACTTACGCTCTATCTGACGGATTCCTTCGTTTCCCGTTGGAACCGTGAGCAGAGCGGAGAGCTTGATATTCCACCTGAGAGAAGGATCAATGCCGCCCTGAAGAGACGGTTCGTGGCTTCACTCAAGGAAGTGACCTTTATGGGTCTGTTTTCCAAGAGCGGGAAAGTCTCGCACTATTACTACAATGCCCTGCAGGGATTGGCATTCTTGGAACCTGATCTGGTGCTACCCGGTGCACTCCAGCGATTTTATCCCAGTCTTCAGGGTTTGGTAGAGGTGCACCGAACCACTTCGAGTTTGAATGGATTGCAGATGATTGCCAATGTCATGTCGAGACTCAAGGGTTACCGCTGCCACTTGACCGCCCTCCTCGCCCTGGCACTGCCTGGCATTGACGCAAATGATCTAAGTAAAACTCAGTATACACTGGCCTTCATTCAGAGTGTTGCGAACAGCATTCCAATGGTTCCACTTATCAAGGAGGAGGGCGACGTCCATGATACAACCTTGGCTATGCAGTGGGTCCAAGGCGAAATGGAGCGCATGGAGCGCGATGGTCAGAACGTCAAGATTGACTACAATGCGGAGCTGACAGATGAGGACGAGGAGCAGATTCTCAGATCCTCGACAGCTGGGTTTGGTGAATTCCTCATAACCCTACTAGGGAAAGTCTTCACCCTTCTGGAGAATTTGCCTGATGCCAACGATGTCCGAGGGGCCACACCAGAAGACAATGTTATAAATGCCCTTCCTGCAGCTTTCTCACCACTGTTCGCATCACTCTCTCCGGAGTTGTTCGATATCGCCCTTGAGAAACTGGCTACCTTTGTGTCTAGCCATGTGATCCATCAGGCTCGTGATGCAATGGCCTGGATCTTGAATGCGCTGTGCAAGATCAACCCAGAAAAGACACTAAAGGTCTTTGTTCCCATGCTTGTCGTCAATATTCGTAACGAGATCGACCAGAACAATGCTGCCTCAGACCGTACATCTGGCACAGATTATTTACCGAGAGATCGAGCCTTGGTCTGGCATATCAGTATGCTTGCTATGACTGTTGTCCATGTGGGACGAGAAGTTCTCAACTACAAAACGGAGCTTCTTGGTATTGCCGAGTACATGTTAGAAAAGTGCCGCGGCTTGCCTACCATCTTGGTGTCCAACTACATTCATCATCTCCTCCTTAACCTGACACACACCTATGCGATTGACCATGCCCTTTACGAGCCAGAAGTCATTCAGCGAGGCGTTGATATCACTGATTGGGGTCGATCTACAACCCCAGCCGACCTTACAATTCGCTGGCACCAGCCCTCTCCATCTGAGATTGAATTTGCTGTTGAGCTGTTCGAATCTCAGACAAAGTCAGCTACTGAGCAATTAGAGTTGTTGATGAGCGACAACCCGCCAGTTA